CCCCCCCCCCAACCTATTGCGGCTGCCCTCTTTAACCCCCACAAGTTTGTCGAGTCTATGTCGAATCAAATCGATCGATAAATCGACATGACGTCTCTGGCTGTCACTAACGCTCTGGCCGGTCCACAGACGGCGAACGCCTGGAGTACCTGTGCTCGGGTAGCCTCATCAGCGAGCGCTACGTGCTGACCGCCGCCCACTGCCTCGCCGTGCTCAACGGCCCGTGAGTACCCAGCTGACAATGAGCTGACTATGCAGTTCAGTACTGTTCAGTGCGTGTCTTACGCGTGTGGCAGCGTGTCGGTGCGTCTCGGCGAGTGGGACACCAACAACGAGCCCGACTGCCTGGACAGCGTGTGCGCCGAGCACACCGTGGACGTGGACGTCGAGCAGAAGGTCGCGCACGAAGACTACCGCGACGGGCTCAACGACATCGCGCTGCTCCGGCTCAGCAAGCCCGTCCTCTTCTCCAGTGAGGATTGAGCCTGGGACTGGGATGTGTGATGTGTGGTTCGCGTTGCTCACGACGGCGTCCTTCTTGCCCTTATCGCAGAGTCGGTGCGACCCATCTGCCTGCCCGTGTCGGGACACAACAGCCCCGCGGAGGACCCAGTCGGCCAGTCTATGCTCGTGGCGAGCTGGGGCAACACGTCTCCGTACCACAGGCAGAGTGAGTACCCGCACGCGTGCGCCCAGGGCTGTGCCGCGCACCCCGACCGACAAAACGCTGACTATCCCGACGGGATGCTTGCAGACGCTCCCAGCCGCTGGCTCCTCAACTACCACGTGTACGTCGACGCCCCCCGAGCGTGCGGCGCCGGCTACAACGCCTTTGACGACGTCCACTTCGATAGCGACAAGCACCTCTGCGTCGGTAAGTACCCCCCATCGCAGTCGCCACGAGAGTCGTCATAAACCAGCTGCTCTCTCAGCCGCTCCGCTCCTTTCCTCCCGCAGCAGGCGGCGGCTGCCACGGCGACAGCGGCAGCCCGCTGATGCTGTCCAAGCAGGTCGAGTCGGACGACTACGAGGACATGGCGGCGCAGGAGCGCGACGTGCTGCACGGCGTGCTGTCCTACGGCGTGCCGGACTGCGCCATCCGCGCCGCGCCGCTCGTCTTCACGCGGGTGTCGCACTACGTGCCCTGGCTGCTGCGCAACCTGCGGCCCAACCCTTTCGTGCCCAAGGACGAGCTGGTCAGCGGCAGCGGCAACCTCAACCCGCGCATCATCGGGCCCAGCCGGCCCAGCCCCAAGCAGGGCTAGGCGGCCCCGGTCCGCGAGGAGCATCTCGTCGCTTGGCGCTGCCCCCGAGAGCTAGGCAGGCCACCGCACGCCGGGCCCGGCCCGGCCCGGCGCCAGTGCGACCTGGCCGTGACATTGTCCAGGCGCGCGCAGCCGGCGTGCGCAGCGGCGCGTGGCAGCGACAGACACACACATACACAGGCACCTGCCCCACCTGCCACTCCGCCAGAAAGTGTCTCTTATCTCGCCTTTTTCGCGTTGAAAGCGCAGGCATCGAAAACAGCCACATTCAACCCCAGTTTGTCCGATGTGTCTCTTGAGTTTAATAAAGTTTTGAGAAAATGTGAGGAATAGACGTCGATGGGTCAGTTGAATGTGAATTTTGACAGGATGACAAGTAGGAGAACAGTCTTCTTTCCAGGGATTTTTTTTTTGCTCTGGATCGCGTTATTAGCGAGGTGATTAGAGAGGGCAAAAAAATTCTCGCGACGAGTCGGTTTTGGGTGGAGGTCCCACTTTCGTTTCTAATCGCTATGGCAAGAGAGGAGGTGCCACTTTCCTCTCAATCGCTACTGATGGAGAAGAAAGACGTCATAGGATGAGCCCGCTTTTTAAGGAGAAAAGACAACTTCATATGAGGGTATACTGACTGGTGAGAGATACCAGCGGTGCAAGATAGAATAGGCTCTTGCTCTTGGCCTGCCCCGATCGTCTCTAATCAAAAACCGCTTTGAGCGGGTAGGTAGTGCTAGACACGCTGTTTTAAACATAATTAATTAGTAGTGTAATCCAGGCTCTAAACAAAAATGAAGACTGAAAGAAGTTGTCCACAGTCCGTGGACTGTGACTGCTTTGCTTTTCGAAATAAATTATTTTCGATTAAACCTTCATCCAGTCTGAGTCCACCTCCTCTTGCCCCATTCCCCATAAGCACCCATAAGGTGCAGGCGACCCCCCTGCACGAACCGACCGCACCTTCCCGTCGGCCCTTCTCACGTCTCAGCTGCACTCGCCGCTCGAACGGTACCGCCTAGAAGGTGGCGTGGGCGGGGCGGGGCGGGGCCACGCGCCT